TGATTCACTCCAGTACCCTAGATCATTTTTTAATTTCTTGAGTCAGAAACATCCTTATCAGTAAATGATTTTTCATCTGTCTCTGAAGATATCAGCAAAGTAGGGAAAAACAATTCATTTTCTCAGTGAGATCCACATCATTTCATAGAAAAAGTTTAATTTTTTTGAACTGTGAAAAGAGATGAGAGTGTAAACAAATAAACAATACCTTCCATAGGTAATACAAGCTGAGAATCTAGCACAGAATTCTTTCTCTGATCCTTGACCTCAGAAGTCTATCCAGATTTCCTTTTTTCCAAAATGGGGCTACTGATCATTATGACCCATGAGATGCTTGCCTACCTTATAACTGATAGGAGGAAACAGGTAAAGTAAAATTAGACATTCACATAGCATAATCCCATATATAAAGAGGTGGTTTAAAGCCTTGAAGATTTTGGATAGAAAACAGTTTTATCTGGAGTCAGTACCTTGGTATACTACAAGAAATCAATTTTGTCCATCAGCATTGCTTTTATATGTTATAACAAGATTGCCGAAATAATTGACCATTTGGTATCAACTGTTGAGTAGGCCGATGAATCTTATCCTTTTGATTTAAAAAAAGAAAATTTAAGAACACTAAAAAAATGCTGATCCTGGAAGTATAGAGGACAGTGAAAGAATAGATTAACCATCAAAAAAAAGCCAACTTCACAAACAATCAAAATAAAACAAAAAAAATGTACTGAAAGAAAAGGATTATGCTTTTTGTGCAAATCTTTAACCTAATAGCAGAAAAAGACAGAAATTGAAGAGGTAGATAAAATCATTAATATAATTAAACTAAATGTTCCTATGTGCAAAGAAACTTATTTGGAGTGAAAATTCTAAGGAGAATTGTAGGAGGTCCTGGTGAGTTATTGATGGATGTTAAGGTGCAGGTTGCTTGTGAGAACTATATGTTGAGGCATGGCAACATTAAGCTATGGAAAGGGAGATAAGGAGAACTGAACATGTAAGGTACCTGCGAGGATAATACTACAAAAGACAAGTTTATCACAGTGTAGGTACCCAGAGATCAAAAGTACATCTTGTAATGAACCTTTTCTGGGGTTTATGGAAATGACTGCCAGCTGTTCCTATCTGAGGACTACTTGAAGCAGAATGACCCAGAAAGTCCATATGGTCCAAAGGCAAAAGCTTAATTAGCTATACCACATCTAATGCCCCATTCCCAGAAGGAAGGAAATTAATTGTAATGCACATGTTGAGAGAGTGACTTTCAAAAATGCAACTCTGGAAGATAAAACATGCTACTGTTTTATCGCTACTATCTTTGTAAAGGAGAATTTATGATGATGGTAATTTATGCCTCTCTTTCTAGAAAGCATATATGTACTTTCCATAATGATTTTTTTTTTTTACAAATACAAGGAGGGAAACTGTGACTCCTATAATTTACACTTGTTCATTGTGATTTCTCATTTTATAAAATAGTCAAAAGCTAGTAAGTTGTAAAAATATGCCAAAAGTAAAAAAATATGTAGTGTTTTTAAAATTGTAATTGCTTAATTACTTAAACCTAGAAACACATCTGAATATAACTGCAATGATAAGTTACATCTGTCTATTAGCAAAGGACTTTTAAATTCTTCTATTGTAGAAAAGGGAATGAGATTGCATCCAATTTGTGTGTGTGTGCTCACACACAGCCTTTCCTGTCATTGTGGGTTCTGAATGACAGAAATGCTGTTTGTTCACAGAGGTGAACACTTAAGAGTATGGAAGCTGCGGTCCTTTATTGGTGTAATTGTGCCATGGATAACGCCTATTGTGTTACACCTGCTCCAGGAAGTCTTCTAGAAGTTTAGGAATTTCCTAATGTCTGTTTAGAAAACCTCTTCTCTTTGTAAATTTTACTTGAACAACAACAACAACAAAATCTCAGTATACATTTTCTATCCTCCATGCATCTTAACTCTCACTTCATAATCTATGTTATGGTACCATGATTAAGATGCATTCAATCTATCATTTTTATTTTAAAATACAATCTTACTTTGTCAAAATTGGTCTTAGAACAGAGTTGAAAAAAGAGAAAGACAAGTAAGGAAGATTTGATTTGACTTGATGAAGATAAAGTTGGTTTATATCACTGTATGTGACTTAGGGTAATGGTTAAGTACCAAAAGCACAGGGCAGGTTCTCTGTCAGTTTGGGTGAGATAAAGGAGGATCCTGTGGCCCTAAGTGACTCTTTTAGACCTTAATGCTCTTTATATGCCAATTGTTGTGGAGCAAGCCTGGAGGTAGTGGGGTCCCAGCCCCAGGGAATCTCTTACTCTCTCTGGTGTTCTCTTGTGGTCTCTTCCTCTAGCAGTGGTTCAATCAGCTTTCTAGTCTCTGAGCGATGCCACCCAGGTAGCTTCAGCCTCCAGGCTCAGGGGTGTCCCTTTACACTTACCCACACCTTCTCCAGCTGTCTGCCATCATGCATGCATGCCCCTGTGTCCAGTTCCCAAGGGCCTCCTGCATTGGGACAATCAAAGCTGCAGGTGACAGCCACAGAGGTTAAAGATGGAAAGCCTGGGCCCTCCCTGGTCGCTCAGTGGGTTAAAGCACTGCACTGAGAAGCTAAAACCACTTCCACATGAGTTCGATTCCCACCTGCCCGGGAGGTGACCACATATGTGGCAGACCTCTCCTGAACCGCCCGCTGCTCCCCTCAGCAGTGTACTTTGTCGATCTGCCTGTTCTGCTTCCCACTCTGTCTCTGGTGAAGCCTTTCGCCACCCTTGAGCCTCTGGCCTGTACCCCAGTTCTTTATGTACAAAAAAAAAAATGGAAAGCCTGACCATCTTCATTTACTCTACAAGGTCCCTACCTCTTCATATGTATGTGGCATACACACCATGTGCACACCAAAACTCTCCACCACAGGAAAATCTTCAGATGCCTTTTTTTCATTTTCATCAGTTTACAATACAACCCCTCCCCCCCCAGTCATACTCAACCCAAAATGTAGTTTGGGATTCAGTGGGGGAACCATAGGCTTAAGTAGCATGCAAGTAGTTTCATTCATACAAGGCATTATAACTTTTTTCTTCTCAAACTTTTTATAAAAGTTTGTACTAAATTGTTCCATGAATCTAAACACAAGCTAAAATGGGTTTTGAAATGGGTTTTATGGAATGGACTATTATTTATTGCAGTGACTTTATTTCCAACAGTATTTTCCAAGTTGGAGAAGCATTTCTGAATCATTTTGAGCTCGCTGAAACTCATTGCTTAGTGTGGTGTTACCTACTTTCAAGTCCTAATTAACTGGGCAAAGCTCTCCTCTTACTTGGGAAGTCACCAGCAGTCAAAAGCCATCTTTTTCTGTCCAATAATGTGTTTAATATTTATGACTGAGGAATTGTCTTATTGCATAGGATACATGTTTTGTATCAAGGTAATGGAAAGCTGACGTGCTTTTTCTTGGAGAGAATGCATCCTCTGAAACATATCAGGTGCCAGTTACTATAGAACCAAAGTGCCCTTTACAGCTGTTTACACTTCAGATGTAAAATGGCAATTTGATAGAGACTAACAGTGTGATGTGAGCATCTGCGTAAAAGGCTACTTAGGAGCATGCCCAGTGCAGTGAGCCAGTCCTCTGCCTCCTCCCTCCCCAGATCTCTGAAGATAAGACTTGAACTTTGCACTTGCAAATGTCACTGCATACGTTGTGGTCTAGGCTTTTTTTTTTTTTTTTTTTTTAGGTTCTCTTACAACTAATTTCCTTCAACAATATGAACCGGGAAGAGAATTTTTAGGGTATTAAGATGCTTTAGATTTAGAATGAGATGATGCCTGTCTTTGAATGCACTTGAAATGTTCTTTCTTTTTAAAGCAATATAAAGCATAGGCGTGTTTATTTTCTCTCCCTTGGAATGGGAAAATAAGATTCTCCTTGGACTGGAGTCCTCCGGGCTAGGGCTTAAGCCCGGGAGGCAGAAAGGGACCGAGAACAGGGGCTTGCCCGGAGCATGGATAGTAAAGGAACAGGGGTTCCTCGGGGCTCAGTGCTCACGGAGGATCGGTTCCCGGGGCTGCAGCTGCGGACGAGAAAGGCGCTGTTTGGCTAATGAAGGCCACCTGGATCAGGCTTCTGAAAAGAGCCAAGGGAGGAAGGCTGAAGAATTCGGATATCTGTGTAAGCGCAAGGGCTTTCGTTTTGGGGGAGACCTGGTTTTGTCGTTGTTTCTGCTGTTGCTGCGGTGAGTGCGGGCAGCGACTCCTTTGATTTAGTAACTCGATCCTGATTGCGAGAGAGGGAGCTCGGGAGATTCCTGTAATTTTCTGAGCTCCTTTTCCCGTGCTGCGATTTATTGATGTAGGAGAGATCTCAGACAGGTGTTTCTCTAGACAGCTTTTGTTAAATATGTATTTAAAGGTATTTTAACATGTGATGCTGAAAGGCTGAGTGAGGCTGACTGCTGGTATCTTACAGTTTTGTCAGAGAAGGTCTCAGGTGAATAAACAGGTACAAAACGTTGCTTAAGCTAAAGTGGGAGTCATCTTAAGAGAGTGACATTGGGGGAGTTCAAGTTTATAACTCAGACTTTCTTTTATTTATTTATTTTGATAGTGTATCATCTTCCTGGTTGCCAATACTTGTTCTAGCATATAGATGGTTCTTGAAGTTATCCTTCAAACCTATCTATGCCCTTCAGCTCTGCACTGCACCATGGAGCTGATTTAATTCTAAGGAACTTGTTCCAGCTTCCAAAAAGGATAGTAATAGGAACCTAAACCTTGGGAATGAGGGTAACTTGGTGGACACAACTATCCTAGTGAATGGTCTACAGATCAGAACATGATTTTTTTCTAGCCAGTTTGCTACCAAATGGATTATTTTCCCCCTCTTTTCAGGAATTTATAGCACAATCTAAGGAGCTGACTGCCCTGTCAATGAGTTTGCAACGTAAACATCATGGAAGGAATCTATTTTAAAATGTAAATTTTCCTCCCAAGGGTTCGGCAGACTCCTACACCAGCCGTCCATCCGATTCAGATGTTTCTTTGGAGGAAGATCGGGAGGCGGTTCGCAGAGAAGCAGAGCGACAGGCCCAGGCCCAGCTGGGAAAAGCAAAGGTAAGGCCATGGCCTCCCTGCCACGCTCTGGCGTGCTGGGTCCGGATGGGCCACCTATGGCACTTGCTCCTGAGCTTATGTTTGGTCTGTTCCATGTCATTGTCCGACTTAAAAGAGGTACCCAGAAATGGAGTGTGCTTTCTATTAAGCATATGTGCTTGGTAGAAAAAAAGGACATGTGACATATAAGGATGTTCTCGTCTTTTGTTTTATAATCCAGGCAACTTGTCTCTGTTGGTGGATGGTTTATTTAGGCACACACACACAAAAAAGTTCCCCTGTATATAAGAAGAGAAAAAGCTGCATTGAATATCAAAGTAACTTTTAATTTCATTTTTCTGGTACACCATTTCCTTGTTTAAAAAAATACTTCTTCCAGGAAATGGTCTTTTTCTCAGACCTGAAAAAGCTGTCTCCCCAGATTTTGTTTAGTAATTGTTTTGTAATAGTGGTGTTTTCTTGCATTTAAAAATGCACTGCAGTCTGCTTCTCAAAAAGCAGAGTATTTTAAAAGTTCCTTCTGTCTTGGAACGCTTCTCATAATAATAAAGTGTGTGTGTGTGTATATAGAGGGTGACTGGAAGTCAGATACGAAATATATTGGTACAGAATTTAGCTGAGACTATTTCCTTTCACTAATTATAATGATGGGCGTGTGTTTTCCATGGGGTCACTCAAAATAGCAGCTATTTCTAAGCTTTAGTTGGGGCATTTTGTCCATGATTGTGTGCTGTGAATCATGAGTTAGTTAAATGGCACAGCTATTTTACAAATGGTTGTCCAAGTGGAAGGTACCTTGGTTTGTGTGACATTTGGTAACTTTTAACATGGTTGTTGGTTTTCTTTGGGAAGGAATCGCTGCTTTGAAAAAAAATGAGTACTGTGTTTATCTTGCTTTAAAAAATCAAGGGTGGCATTAGACACTTGTGCTGATGGTTTTATCTCTGTGATCAGTAAAATCTCTATGTGTTGCTATGGGAATCATGTCTTGGAGATCCTTGTTTGAATGCATGGGCAGCCTTATGTAATATGCATGACCTCTAGCTCAGATGCCTAGTAGGTTACAGAGGGACTGCCAGAGACCTTGCCTTTTTAAAAAGATGTGTATTTCCATACACCAAAACAATGTCCTTACCTCAGCTGGCAGGGAAGTCATCTCAAGGTCTGACTCAGTCTTGCCTGCAAGACAGCTGTTAAACAGATGATACAGCAAGGTACCATCAACTCACCTGCCAAAGTCAACCATTTGGTGCAACAACATGATGAGCCAAGAGCATGCCTTGCTGCATAAATAAGAACAGAACAGATACTGCACAATTGCACCTGAAGTATCTAAAGTAGTCAAACTCACAGAAGCAGAGGCAGAGAGTCGCATGGTGCTTACCAGGGACTGGAGGAGGAAACGGGGAGTTGTTCTTCAACAGACATTCAGTTTCAGTTATGCAAGATGAACATATTCTAGGGGGTGACAGGACTCTCTTGTGCCAATAGATAACAGTACTGTACTGTGCCCTTCAACATGTGTTAAAAGGATAGCACTCTCATTTAATTTTTCTTACTACAATAAAAAGTGAAGTTGGAACAAAGAAAACTACATGATGGCTATGAGGCACATAAATGTAGTTGCCACATGTTGGCCAGGTCACTAAGCTAATATATGGTACAATTTAGAATCTAAATTCTGTGTTCTGTATTTTGCACCAGGGTGCAAAAAGAATCAAGGAAAAAAATAACAGTTTGTATTCCAGAAATAAGAGTGTTCTATTTTCTCTAATTTATTCCTGTGATTCTCACATACCAAAATTAAACCGTTTCTCAGATTCATATCACAGCATCATACGACCCATGGGCTTTTCAAAGCCCCTTGGTTAACCTGACTGGGGCATTTTGTCCATGACTGTGTGCTGAGTTAAGTGAACAGCTGCATAGAACTTTTAACTATTTTCAGCCCAGCATGGGCCAAAATATTGATCCTCAAATAAAATCAGCTTTGTTGTCATACAGACTAAAAGGTTTATGATTACAAGTGAAGTAGAAGAGGAAAGAAAATAAGATCCTTTAAAATGAAAGTAAAGGAAGTGAAGGCCTATTTCCTATGTTTAATTAAAATAATTTATTTACATCAATTTTTCTCCATTAAAATTAGGTCAGTGTCTTAAACATTTGATGTATTCAAATTGAGTTCACCAAGCTAAGTGAGATAAAAGTAGCAGAATTTAAGTTTTTGTTAAAATCATGGTTTGCAGGTCTGGTTTATTAATTCCAATGTCTTTGAGAAGGAATGGCAGAGAGAGACTGTGGATGGCTTGTTCATTAGTTTATTTTTGTTCTCCACCACAATCTTATCATTGTGCCTTTGAGGAACCTATTTCAAAATGATACTTTTAAGTTTAAAAATATATGCATTCACTGTTTAATTTTAGATAGTTTGGAACACTTCGTACATCCATCTTGATGAATCAGATGTTCTCAACATATATTTTATAACCATCATAAAGCATCCGTTGAGCAAAAAACATTGAGTAGGTGCTTCACTTACTGGCCCAATAGATCACACACAGTATGCCTGTACAAATAGCTGGAGCAAACCTGAGCAGTGTTGCAGTTCTGGCCGTTCCTAAATATGAACTATATCATCCCTTAATTGCCTTAAGATTGCATCTTTGAAATACAGTGATTGGCAGACAATGAAATTAGAAACTTTGCATTTTGAAATTAAGTGACCTACAAAAGGTTATATAACTCGGGATTCTGTGCTTCCAATAAAATCTAATACTTTGCGCTAGTACTTTCTTAAAGCATCTCTTAAACCAGTAAACTCTGCAGGGATCAGATTATATGTTAATTTTGAGGCAAATAAATATCAACTGACATGCACTTCTTTTTTAATTTGGTATTTGTTTTCTGATCCCAAATGCATATTAGAGCTTGTTCAGTTTGCCATACTTTGCAAATCCTGCTTTAAAAAGCTCCTGTTCTTTGATGTTGCCTTAAAGACAAGTCGTGTAGGGATTTAATTTATTCCCACATTGATCTTTTTAAAATAGCAGCTGTATTAATATGATCACTCACTTGAGCTTCCCTAGTGGCATAGGGGGTAAGTCTCAGTGCTATCACACTGTTATATCTATGGCCAGAGTTCAATCCCCAGCCAGTGAGCTGACCCACAGATGATGCAGCAGACCTCAGCAGACCTCTCCTGTCTCACTCACTATTCCCTTTAGCAGTGTATTTCAATAGATCTGCTTGCTTTTCTCCCCTTTCTCTCATCTGACCTGATGAGAGAAAAAGGCCTATACTCCTGTTCTATGCATAAGTAAATAAAAATTAATCTTTTAAAAAATCACTCACTTAAGATGTAATACTCACAAATTTGTAAAGTTATCACATTAGTCAATTTTAGAACATTTTCATTGTGCCTAAAAGAAGTTAGTCCAATTCTCACAACCCACTCATCCCTAGGTAACCACTATTCAACTTACTGTCTACATAGACTTTTCTGTTCTAGATATTGCTTATAAGTGGACTCATACGATAGATGATCTGTTATGACTACTTCCAGTTATATAATGTCAATAGTGTTCATCATGTTATGCATACATCAGTACTTCATTCCTTTTTATTGACAACATTTCTGTCCATTTATCGGTTGGTGCATATTGAGTTATTTCTATATTTTAGCTATTATGAATAATTCTGTTAGGAAAATTCTCGTACAAATCTTTGCATCTAAATGTTTTCATGTCTTATATGTATATATCTAGAGGGGAAATTGTTGAGTTTGATGATCATCTTTTCTTAATTGGAAGAATTTTTTTTCTTTTCTCTCTCATTGCCCTAAAATTATTCTTTCTACCCTTTATCTGTCTCAGCTGGGAAATCTGGATATGGAATGAAAGGAAACAGATGAATATGTCAGTACTACATTTTTAGTAGAATGTATTAACTCAAATTTTAAGTTGATTGTTCTCTCACAGGTGAATGTCTGCTGTATTAGGCCAGAGTCATAAAGAAACAAGAAAGATCTTTTGCCTGCAAAAAGTTTCTAGTTTGTTTAGGGGAAACAGTCTCGAGCTTAAGTCATGCTAAGAGGTAGGCTTAATCTTTTTTTCTCTTCATGGTTTTTACACACACACACACACCCCACACATAATACGCAGATACTATATATAACATATATAACACACATATATGTAACACATGGCAGTGATTGAAATCATTTTAAATCTAAATAGTACAAAGTGAGCTATACTTTGTTTTTTCAGTCATTTTCTGTATCCCTATCTTATACATATAGATCTTAACTATCTTGACTGCTCCGTAGATTCCATCTTTTAATAGTACCACAGTTCAGACCACTAAATCAAGTTGGTACCTGATGAATTTTGACTTTTTTTTTTAATGCATACACACACACACATATCATTCTTCACTGTGTACACTTTTTCATTTCGGTTGTAATCCCCGTGGATTTCCCACCACCAATTCACCCATGTGCCTTCACTATAGTCCCCTGTGCTCTTCCTACCCCAGTTTTGATCCTGTTCCCCCCTCCGCTGCCATAGAATGTTTCTGGTTTATAGTTATTTGTTGATTTTTGTTTTCAAAAAATGGAGGAAGCCTTTATCTAGGCGAATAGACAGGTCTATGAATTTTCAGAGGAAAAGACTGCACTGCACCCTGCTGGCAGAAAAAGGGAATTCTTTTTGGAAGAGTTGGTTGCCTAAAAGTAAACCTTGGCAAGGTTGACAGATGGAGAGGAACTTAAGAAGCCAAAAGTAGAAGGTGGAGAATAGAGTCCTAGGCCTGAGAAGTAACCAAAGTTAAGGCCAGCCTATGTTTGGCAACAAGAAAACATGAATCCTTCTAGAGAAAAGTACTTTTTTGAGATCTTGCCAACTTGAAAAGATCTTTAGAGTATCTTTATTAGCATTTAATTGTTGATCTGGGTATAGTCATCATGTATGAAAGCATTTCCTTGGGAACTTTTGAAGGTATTG